CGAGCACATTTATTTATCTGTGTGTATGTACAGGTGGACGGAGGGTATGCACGCCACCGTGCGTGTGTGGAGGTTGGAGGACAACCTGTGTGAACTGGTTCCTTCCTTCCACCAGGGTTAAACTCAGGTTGTCAGGCTTCGAGGCAAGCACTTTTACCTGGGCGGCCATCTCACCAGCCAAAACAGATCTTATCTAATTTATTATTAATTAACTTGGGATTACAGTAAAATGCCATGACTAGTGCCCAGAGCCCTTGAGCTCGGATACTCATAAGCAGTTTGACAGGAAGGCGTTAGGGTAAGATTGCTGAGTTCAATTTGGAAAAAAAAATGGCTAATGTCCAAAAGCTTGTAAATCCTTGCCAGAAACTGACTTCATATTTCCTAGATGAAACTCTTAAATTAATGAGTGACTTCAGTAAATCTGGGATTTTAAAAAATAAGATTGTGTGTGTATGTTGTGTGTGTGTGTTTGTGCATGGGTGTATGTTTGTATATGTGTGTGTTCATGCATTGGTGTGTTTGTGTGTGTGTGTGTTTGAGTTTTCGTGGGTGTGTTTGTATATGTGTGTGTGTTTGTATATGTGTGTGTGTTTATGCATAAGTGTATTTGTGTGTGTGTGTTTGTTTGTGGGTGTGTGTTTGTGCATGTGTGTATGTTTATGCATAATTGTATTTGTTTGTGTTTGTTTGTGTGTGTGTGTTTGTGAATGGGTATGTTTGTATATATGTGTGTTTGTGTATATGTGTGTGTTCGTGCACAGGTATGGTCGTGGTAGGCGTAGGGTCTCTCTTGCTTCTGCCACTGTGCTATTCAAGCTTCTGGCCAATTTTCTGGTTTTGATCTCCCATCTAGGAGTAGAAGAGCTGGGATTACAGATGAGACACCCAAATCTAGCCTGCTTTTACAAGGCTCCTGAGATCAAACCAGATCATCATGCTTGCTTGGTAGTATGTGAGAGACTTTTTCTGGGGAGGTGCAAAACACACACACACACACACACACACACACACACACACACACACAGTGCTACTAGCTCCAAGCAGGGACTCCACGCCAGACCAAGGTCAACTTGGTTGAACCAATGAGTTTTTGTTGGGGTTTCTGACAGTGGCAGGGGTGAGGACTTAGAGGAACTGGAATGACCCAGAAGCATCTGTATCATCTAAGGTCCCACCCAATAGGGGTGATGAAGCAAAAAGCTGCAACCCTGGAGCTCTGCACAATCTATAGCCAGCTCAATGGTCCAGGAATCTCTGTTCTGATGCAGGCAGGTCAGAGTAAGCTGCAGAGGGACCCTCTGGAGTCTTGCTCATGTCAGCTTCCCTAGACATACGACTCTGGCCACGAGGTAGTCATCCTGCCTACCAGGAGGATGCTTAGATTCAGAGATCACTTTACATCACACAGAGCCTGAGTCTAGACCTTTTCATCAAGGAGGCCATCTACATACTGAGCTCCAGGCTAGCCAGGGCTTCATAATGAGACCTTGTCTCAGAAACAAAAGAAAAACAATGAGATGACCAGTCCACTCCCCTGGTCTGGACAGTGTGTGGCCAGCCTCTAACTCTATATAATTACAGATGATCTTACCTTTTTGTCTTATTCTCAAGTTTCAGATCATTTTTCTTGTGGTTATAAATAATTTCCATATTTCTTGATGTAGAAGAGATGGTTGGATTGACTTTAGTTATTGCTATAGGTGAAGCCAGGGTGTAAACACACGAGCCTCCTTAGGTTTAAGCTGCAAAATCAACACTTAGACCAAAACTAGCTTCTGTCTAGAAATTTCCACATGGCATCGTAGGTGGAGCTTTTAAAGCCTCCTGGTGTTGCCAGTTGTTTTTGTTGGATGACCAGCTGGGTTTTTTTTTTTTTTTTTTTTTTTTTTTTTGGTTTTTCGAGACAGGGTTTCCCTGTGGCTTTGGAGGCTGTCCTGGAACTAGCTCTTGTAGACCAGGCTGGTCTCGAACTCACAGAGATCCACCTGCCTCAGCCTCCCGAGTGCTGGAATTAAAGGCGTGTGCCACCAACGCCCAGCTTGACCAGCTGTTTTAATTCCTTTTTTTCTTTGCTGTAGCAGTGAGAACCTGAAATGAGACCCAACAGAAGCAACTTAAGAGAAAAAGGGTTTATTGTGGCTCACAGTCCATCATGGTGGGGAAGGCAGGATTCCAGGCAGATGGTCATATTGTGTTCACAGACAGGAAGCAGAGGCAGGAACACTTGGTACTCAGCTTCCTTTCTTCTTCCTCCTCCTCTTCTTCTTCCCTTTTTTTTCCTAGACAGGGTCCTCCAGGTAGCCCTGGTTATCCTGGAACTCACTCTGTAGACCAGGTTGGCCTCGAACTCACAGAGATCTGCCTGTCTCTGCCTCCAGAGTGCTGGGATTAAAGGCGTGCACCACTACTGTCCCACTGGCTGCTTTCTTCTTTTTATTCAGGCCAAAACCCTGGCCCATGGGACAGTACCACCCACATTCTAGGTGGGTCGCCTCCCCTGGCTAACCTTCTTTGGAAAGTCCCTCACAGAAATAACCAGAGGCATCTCCCAGGTGACTCTAAATCCAGTCTAATTGATCCAGATTAGTCATCCAGCTTCCCGAGGACTTAAGGGACACCTGGAATGTGGGCCTTTGAGTGCCAATGCTGGGATAGTTTTTCAATCTTCATCCCATGTCAAACTACAAATGTAACCTCTCTCTCCAGCTAGTGACCCTTGTAGATCTGACCAGTTTTCCTGCCTGGAAATGACTTTTCCTTATTTCACTGCCCTAGTCTCCTGAGAGGGTTTCACAGCTCAGGCTCCGGACTATCCCTGAGAGCCAGTTTGTCACAGCTGGTTATGAAAGGACCTTTACAGAAAAATGACACCCAAGGAGGTACTGGGTTGCATGATTGATTTTTCCAGTTCTATCCTGGTAGCATAGGAAGGCAGACTCCTTTGAACCTGTGCAAAAGTCCTAGAATGTTCTGGCATGTAAGGAGAGTCAGGACAAGTTTTCGTTGGTTTGTGAATCTCCTATGAAGGGCAGAGAGATTCCAATGCCTCCCCATGTGTTTTGATTCAGTTTCCCAAAGACTGAAGGGTCGGGCACTGCAATGTGGAGTGTAAGCCATAAACAGGGAAGTCCAGGGCACACAGATTGCTTAGAACAAGGTCCTAACGGAGAAACCAAGTCAAGGATCAGAAGTCATTTAAAATGTTCAAGGCCAGCCTGGTCTACAGAGCAAGTTCCAGGATAGCCAGGGCTACACAGAGAAACCCTGTCCAAAAAAAAAAAAAAAAAAAAAAAGCCAACCCCCCCCCCCAAAACAACAACAACAACACACACACACACAACCAAACAACACTAAAAAGTCAGAGAAAGAAACTTCTCTCAGCTCTAGCAACAGAGTGCTGACTTCTCAGGCCCTGCACCCTCTAGGATAATGAGAGGGTAATTGTTCAGAAAGTAAAAATCATGACCTATAGGCAAACACAAAACAGGCTCGTGTCAAAGTGGGAGCGCTTTTTCCTTCCATGCTAGATGAGTGCTCTATTACCAAGCCACATCCCAAACCCTCAGAGATTTTATTTAACGTGTTAATTAGTGTTATGCATGGTTCAAAGAGCACTTTAAAAAGTTGGGCAATTTAACAAAGACAGATTAGAGTCAGATTGCTGAGTTTTTTTTTTTTTCAGCTAGTGAAAGTCCAACAGGCCATAAATCATGGAGTTATCTGTCTCATCAGACAGAAATTATCTACCATGTTCCTGTGCAGAATCTGCAAGTTCACACGTGACTCTGCCTTAATCAGTTCTGTGAGGTGAATTAGCTACACTCTGTGGTCTAGGGCAGGGCTTCCTAAACTTTTCCACTTGGCTCCTTTCACTTGAGAAATATTCTACAATATCTGAGGATATAGGCCTATAAAATAGACTCACGAATCAAGCATTTATGGAGACACGCTTGTACTCCCAGAACCAGAGAGCAGGCCGCCAGGGCTTGCCAGCCAACCAAGCCTAATTGGAGAGCCACAGGACAGTCAGGGACTCTCAAACAAAAATGAATAGTTGGATGGTGCTTGAGGAGCAATGGCTAACACTGTTCTCTGGACTCCACAAACACATGCACAGCTGTGTCTGTGAGCCCTGGTACCTGCAGAGAGAGAGTTGGATCCTTGGGAGCTAGAGTTACAGGGCTGTTGTAAGCTGCCTGACTGCTAGGAACCCAGTTTGGGTTCTCTGAAACATTGACCTAGGCTCTTAGCTACCAAAGCCATCTCTCCTGCTCATAACAGCAATTTTTAAAACTTTTCTTCCTTCCTTCCTTCCTTCCTTCCTTCCTTCCTTCCTTCCTTCCTTCCTTCCTTCCTTCCTTCCCTCCCTCCCTCCCTCCCTCCCTCCCTTCCTTCCTTTCTTTCTTCCTTCCCCCCCTCTTTTGAGACAGTTTCTCTGTGTAACCCTGAGTGTCCTGGAACTCACTCTGTAGACCAGGCTGGCCTGGAACTCATAGAGATCCACCTGCCTCTGCCTCCCTAGTGCTGGGATTAAAGGTGTGCACCACCACTGTCTGGCACTGTACATCTTTGATCCCAGGGCCTGGAAGTAGAAGCAGGAGGATCTCTGAGTTTGAGGCTAACCTGGTGTACCTACATAGTGAGTTCCAGTACATCCAGGGCTACATAATAGAAAGACCCCATTTCCACGTCCCCAAAACAATCAATCAATCAAACAAATGCCCGATGCCATTCAAATGTCCCCCAACACACATCAAGGGGGGACACACAGGTGCAGATTTTGGGTGGCGATAGGGAGGTGACATGAAGCTTGCTCAGGGCCCTACTTAAGGATGCCTTTTTCTCTGTGGGGAACTGCCACAGGGCAGGCCCTGAGTGACCCTGCCTGGGGAAGAAGGAAAGCAGGGTGGCTGAAGACAGACACCTCCTCTCCTGTGCACAGCCCAACTGACTCATCCCTTCCTTCCAGGGGGCCAAGCTCAGCTTCCTGGGGAGCGAGGAACTGCAGATGATATTTGACTGGCTAGATGTGGAGAACAGGGGCCGCCTGTCGCTGGACGAATTCAGCTCTGGACTCAGTATGTGTCTGTCTTGGGAGGGCCCCCGG